ATTACTATAAGTTGTATATTAATCTCCATAAACGTGTCAACTTGCAATTTTTTATTTAATTAGTTCCTAATGCATGTGAATCAATACATTCATATGTGCTTATAAGAATGAGCAGAATCAATATATTTTTGAGATATTTTATTCTTTTTTTTTTTTTTTTTTTTTTTTTTTTTACTGAGTCATTTTGGTGGTTTTCAGTAGCCTGTCCTATCTCTAGACGCATGTCATGAAGATTATATTGTTCACATAGAAAATATTGCATTTCTGAGTTTCTCTACCGATGAGTTTGTGCTCTTCATTTGACTCCATTTTATTTGTGTCATCTTACCAGGTTATTGGTCTATATTGATTGGGAAAATCTTTTTTTGTCAATCAAATTCTCTCCCTTTCAAATTATGAAGGTGCTATTTATTTATTTAGGCACGTAACATTTTACTATTACAGATGTTATCTTGTGATCTGATTTCTTCTTATTCCTGAGATTTCAAATTCAAATTTATGTGTGATACTAAGACAAAAGGTATATCGTATAGTAGATTTACTGGGATATGGCTTTTGTCTGTAGGACATAGATAACAAGCCATTTCTAGATGTGGCTCAACCTATTTAGTTGATTTTCTCATTATTATGGGTTTGTGGAGCTCCATTGGAATTGGATATACTGGAGTAAAAACTTCTGTTTTCTATCTTCTATCTTGATACAGAGGTTTTGATAATGTTTGGAAATTAAATGTATATGATGATAGGTAATATCCAAAGTACATTGTTACTTTTTTTCTTCTCAAAACTTACATATTAAAAGGAAAATATTGTCCGTCAACAGATACTTGTGATTTTTACATGTTCTGTCTTTCAGGGTTTTTGCCCTAGCGATTGTCGCGAGTTCTATGCTTATATATAACCTATCTGAGATGGTTTGTAACTTGGCTGTAGCACTCATCTATCATTTTCCTGTGCCACGTGATGATGTGTTGAGTCAAAATACATATCCAGGTCATATTATGGACATGTCAAAGATGGTTCAACACATTCTTTTCATAAATGATATTATGTACTCACAATGTATTGGTCCTTACGTTTAGAAACTTAATATGGATGTTTACATACGAGTTTTGAGTAAACAAAAGCATATAATTAAGTGTCATTAGTCCATTTATAATTTTCTCTGAACAGAGTTATCTTAGTAAGCGTTAAAGCCTATAGGTCATTTTCTTGGTCTATACTAGAACAATATATGTATTTATATGATTCGAGTTAAAATAATATGTTGGTCTAATTTTATGCTTAGGTTCATCATTTGTAGTTGAGCTTGTTGAAGAATTTTATGATTGGACTTTAATAACTTGTAGGCTTAGCAATGTCACAAATGCTATAGACTTAGGTTAATTTAATTTAATTTACTGTTATCCCCAGTTTCCAAAATTTTCCACTTATAATAGTTTGTTTTTCATACATGTACATACTTCCTTAACAAAGTCAATGTAGTCATTGCACCTTTCTAATGATTTATAAGAATATTATCTTAACATGCTAAATAATAACAAAGAATGAGTTCTCAGGACATCATCTTTGCTCTCCACTAATGTTCACTATAGGGGCAAGATGTTGCTTTTGAACCAACAAAGCTCCCATGGCTAATACAGCACGATTTTCTACATAAATCTTTCTATGATGTTTACAAATGACTTATGGGCATGAAATGTCATGTTATTATGTTATGTGCACGTATTGTTTTAAATGATATTCTTTTTCCCTCTATAATGGAAGCTTAGTATATTTTATGGTGTTCATGGGTCGACCTTTTTGAGATAGAATGTGATAGTAAAATTGCATCTTTCCATTTTCTTTCGTTAGCTCAAGTGCTCTATTTTGTGATTTCTTGAACTTCTCGATCATTTTAGTCATTTTTGGCACGTGTAGTAGGATAATCTGTGCAAGAACTGATAGATTACAAGAATATTGATCAAGTATTTTTTGTTTGAAGTTTTCGAAGTTATTCCACTATTATATTGAGACAAGATGATATTACTAATTTAGTATTCTAAGCTTGTTTTGTTTTCTGGGTGTTTGTGTCTTCTTTTCTTGTAAAACATAGCCCATGTTTGAGTCCTATTTTTAGAAAAAATATATATTCTTAAATAGTGTTTTAACATCATTTTAATTATGTATTTTTCAATAAAATAATATTACATACAAATTTAAAACTTTTCACTATTTTTTAACCTCATATTCTCTATTAATACAATATTCAGAAATTCATTCTTATTAAAAGAGGCATCAAACAAGGGCATAATATTGTATTGGTCAAATGTAAGGTGTTGATAATGACACTAAGTGGTCCAAATGATGCACAGTTACACTACTTACATTTCATCACAATGTCAAAAAAGATGTCAAACAAAGTGTACATATAGCATGATCCTTGTTATAAACATCAAAGTTATTTTTAAAATTCGGGTTCAAACTGTTAATTGTTAACATATAGTGGGACTGTTCTTGGATTTTTGATAATTTTCTATGTTATTGGCTGTTAGGACGTTTTTTTTTTTTTTTGAAGTTTTCGAAGTTATTCCACTATTATATTGAGACAAAATGATATTACTAATTTAGTATTCTAAGCTTGTTTTGTTTTCTGGGTGTTTGTGTCTTCTTTTCTTGTAAAACATAGCCCATGTTTGAGTCCTATTTTTAGAAAAAATATATATTCTTAAATAGTGTTTTAACATCATTTTAATTATGTATTTTTCAATAAAATAATATTACATACAAATTTAAAACTTTTCACTATTTTTTAACCTCATATTCTCTATTAATACAATATTCAGAAATTCATTCTTATTAAAAGAGGCATCAAACAAGGGCATAATATTGTATTGGTCAAATGTAAGGCATTGATAATGACACTAATTGGTTCAAATGATGCACAGTTGCACTACTCTCATTTCATCACAATGTCAAAAAAGATGTCAAACAAAGTGTACATATAGCATGATCCTTGTTATAAACATCAAAGTTATTTTTAAAATTCGGGTTCAAACTGTTAATTGTTAACATATAGTGGGACTGTTCTTGGATTTTTGATAATTTTCTATGTTATTGGCTGTTAGGACGTGAGTATTTTTCTAGAATTTTTGAATATTTTGTTGTTAATGAGTTCATTTGATTCGCTACTTACATTGAAAATAATTGTCCAAAACTATTACTTCGATCTTCATGTTCAATTAGGTGCTTATTGTGGTCACTAAAATCATTAAAAAATATCTTAACACCTTACGATATTATTAACAAAATTACTTTCAAAATTATAATAGCCATCATGCAACGCACAATCAGAACTAGTGTTTGAATAAGTAAAACAAATAATACAGCAAAAATACTAATAAATGTTTGACTCTCTTGAACGAAAATCATGTTTAAGAATAATGATTAAGGAAAAGATTTTCTAATTAGTGAAATATTAGAAATAAAAATGTGATAAAGAAATATGCTAAAGAAAGTGTGATAATGAATAAAACCTAATGACATTTACTATAATTAAATTGTAGTATGTGTGTGTGTGTGTGTGTGAGTGTGTGAGTGAGTGAATATAACCCACCTTATTTTAATTTTTTAACCATTGACATGAGTGAATTTTTAACATGTCAAGATAAATTATATTGAAAAGTTTTGATAAATTCAATTAGTTTAAAAATGCAGTTTCAATCGTTAGTAGAAATATTAATTATTTAACTAATCTTGGACGGCCAAGAGTGACTGGAACATTAATTAATTAATTGAACTTAGATAAATTGTGTTTGATCACGTCCTTTCACCAGCTTCAAAATAAAATTTAAAAAGTTATAGAAGTATAATTTTACGAGGACTATATATACAATTAAAAATATTACAATGAATTTGGACATTACTATGGTCTAGGTACATTCTAAATCTTGTAAAGAAGAGAACTGCTATTCGAGCATTCGTATCACAATTATCCTACGTTACATACATATAACATATGATCATTTTGTTCTTTAATGTGGTAGTTTTTGATTTATGCATCAAATAATTACCTACCGTGTATATCACGTATATCGACGGCACATTATTCTATGAGGATAACCATATCTTTAAGGTGACGTGTTGAAATCACAAGCTCATCAGACTTTGATGGGGACTTGGTGTCTCAGTATGCCAATGGGTGTCGTGGACGGCACAGATTTATCCAACTACGTATAAACTGGCTTCTTCTTGTGACTGTACGGTGAGGTCATGATAAATATTATTCAATGTTGCTCGTGAGCATACTTTCAGGATATTCGCATAAACCAAAGTTACCAAACCGACTAAGATTTTTGGTTTCTTGTTACTCTTGCGTTTTCTAGTTTCATACAACAGAATCTTATCTCCACATATTTCCTTCGAGTTATGTTACGCTTATAAAAAGGTTGATAAAGTTGGATAATAAAATCACATTCACACCAATGATTTCGAAAGCAAATTTTTAAATAATTTGAAGTCAATGACATGAATTTTGAAAACACACTTTTCAATCCAACTTTCAACAAATAGCTCTATTGATTTCCTTTAGCTTTTTCCCTTTCAAATAAGAACAATGACTATAGGGAGGGCCCTCAATTTATTGACGGAAGTTTAAAAAAACAGCTCAAAACAAAGGCAGCGATAGGAGCTGGCAGTCATTACATCAAAAGCGGTGCAATGACAAATGAAAAAACAGATGGAGTAATTTTTTTGAAAAAAACTCCGTCCCGGCTCCGGGACAGGGTTGAAGACATGTGGCACCCCTATTTCTAACTCTGTCCCCAAATCAAGACAGAGAGCACGTCTGTAATTTTTTTGCTAAAAAGTTGATCAAAAATCATTTTTAACTATACATTTTATTTTCCACATAATTTTATTCACTTTTTAACTACTTTATTCATTAAAATGGCCTACTTTATTCATTAAAATCTAGGTTCTTAATAATATAATAGAAAACTATTTTCATAGCACTGAAAATATAATTAAAATTAAGGTCACACTGAAAATGTGTGTATTATTCAATTCTTAAACGTAACTCTGCTCCTCAATAATCTTAGTTATCAGTTACAATGTCTCCATAGAAGAATTTTTTGAAAGATTTCAAATGGTCAACTTGAAGACACAGCGACACAACCAGAGAGTCATCCCCGTCCTGACCACGGAGGATCAACGAATCACCGTCACAATCAAGGGTTCCGGGAGCCATCAATATTTCTTTTCCCCATCCAAAATTCAGGTCGTGCATTGGCAGTGCAATCCAGCTTATAACTCCAATATTTGGATTTCCATAGAAAGGCCCAACGTTATTCCTTATGGCATGGATATCTTGATACCGAGAAAACTCTTTCTGATTTTTCAAGAAATCAATGGTCGAATGCACATACTCACTCGTCACTCTATCGATTGCTTCTCGTACTTTTCTTGCAGCATAGTTGAGCTGGTTGGCTACCAGCTCGCCGGATAATCCCGTTGCAACCACGTCCATAATTGCGTTTCCGAAGTACATTTGAGGCAACGGTGGCTGCACTCGCTTGCGGACGTCCATGCAGATTATCAACGAAGTTGGCTGCTCGTAAGCATGCTGGCGAGCCTTGCATGCGCATCTCCATATATGCCCTGCTATAGCCTCATATCGCGAATAAGCGCGTCCAATATCATCGCTAGTTCGCTTTCTGTTAGCTTTGTTCTTGAGCTTTTCCACTTGGAATTTTGTTAACTTCAACATGGCAATTGTAGTTTTCTTCTTCATCTCATTTTCATTGCTTGATTTGCCAATCAAGAACGGTAGAGGATTGAACTCGAAGTGCTCAAAACGAGGTTTTCGCACGGGAGGTTCCCCAGCACGCAATACTTTCCGATCAAGGAAAGGTGCGACCTGTAATGGTTCTCCGCGAGTTAGCCTGGCCCATTCGGAGATGAAATGAACCGCACTTTGGCCATCAGCCACCACGTGCGATATCGTCCAACTTAGAGTAATCCCACCACACTGGAATTTAGTGAGCTGCACAATCATCAAAGGGATTTTTTCAATGGGAGTATGGTAATTTACATGAGGAATAAGGTTATCGAATTTAAGAGATGGGGCGAAATCATTAACAAGTTCATCCAATTTTGCCTCGCACTCGGCTTCGATGAGCTGAACGCCCTCAGCATTGCAGTTGAGCTCGAGTCGATCTCCGTCCAGCCAGCACAAACGACCTGCTAATGGATAAAATGGGACCAAAACCCTGCTGAGTGAATTTTTGAGAGTTTTGATAATGGTGTGCTCTGGAGTAAGCCAATTTTTGGTTGGTTTATAGAAATAAATGGTCGGAACATGAGTTAAAACACCAATTTGGTCTAATTCGGACAAGGAGAAGGGGCCATTCCATGTGGGTTCTGCAGGCTGGACTAAGCAACAACTCTTCACGATGACTTCCATTTTCCACATAAAATTTTGGATATTTCTCTCTTGTATTTAAAGACACGCTTTGCTGTCACGTGTTTATCATGACCTAAGCTATGGTTGAGCCATATTTTTTTTTTAAATACATTTTGTAACAATGATTTTGTCATCATTTCAACTACATATTTTTCAATAAAATAATATTTTACGCAAATTCAAAACATTTTCTTCATTTTTTATCTACACATTTTCTATCAATACACTATTAAAAAATGTATTCTATAAAATAATATTACACATTTTTCAGAAAAACATTATTTCAACTATTAAAAGTTGAATAGAATGGGGGCCCAAACGGGGGCAGGCTTATAGAAGGGCCTAGTTTTGGGAAACCATGCACTGGCATCGTGGGCTGTCTCATATTTTGGTTAAAATTACTATTTCTCAACCCGCAAATGAGTTACTTTTAGGCATTCAATTCCTAATGGAAATTAATTTTGGTCCTTCTCAGTCCTCAAATGCGTTATTTTTATTTTATTCTGGCCAACATTTTTAAGCCCTTAAATGCATTATTTTTACTAATCCGAATGCAAATCAATTTATGGGGTACTTTAAACACGTATCGAGGAAGTTGAAATAGGAAATTAATGGTTTTGTTGTGGTAATTAGTTGAAATAAAATGATTTAGGAGGCGTTTGGGAGTGATTTTCACCCCCAAAAAATTGATTTTTTATTTTTATTTTATTCTGGCCAATATTTTTAAGCCCTTAGATTCATTATTTTTACTAATCCGAATGCAAATCAATTTATGGGTACTTTAAACACATATCGAGGAAGTTGAAATAGGAAATTAATGGTTTTGTTGTGGTAATTAGTTGAAATAAAATGATTTAGGAGGCGTTTGGGAGTGATTTTCACCCCCAAAAAATTGACTTTTTATTTTTATTTTATTCTGGCCAATATTTTTAAGCCCTTAAATGCATTATTTTTACTAATCCGAATGCAAATCAATTTATGGGTACTTTAAACACTATCGAGGAAGTTGAAATAGGAAATTAATGGTTTTGTTGTGGTAATTAGTTGAAATAAAATGATTTAGGGAGCGTTTGGGAGTGATTTTCATACCAAAAAATTGATTTTTTGACTGTTATTTCAGTATTCCAGCCGTAAAGCTTGACTTCTTCTCTCACAGGTGGCCCCTATTTTTCTTTTAACGGTCATAAAATCAATTTTTAAAATCACTCCCAAACAGGACTTTAGTGTTTTTATATGGAGCAAAATTTGTAGGGCTAAATATAATTGGAAGCAATTTCAGTGAACAATATAGCCCCCGTTTGGCCCTCATTTTCATTCTCATTATTTTTCATTCTCTTATTTTCAACCACACAATTTTCCATTAAATAATAGTACACTCAAATAAAAAAAATCATTCATTTTCAACCACATATTTTTCAAAAAAATACTATTCCAACCATTAAAATTTAGAAATAATGGGGGCCAAACAAGGGCTTGGCGGAAGAAACTATAATTTACAGAGATGTTCTTCTACCCACAACAAGAACTTTTATTTTGTCTACTTTTCTCCTAATGGTCATAAAATCAATTTTTAAAATCGCTCCGAAATGAGGTCTTAGTGTTTTACACGGAGCAAAATTTGTAGGGCTAAATATAAATCGAAGCAATTTTAGTGAACAATAGTCGACGGAAGAAACTATGGCCTCGTTTGTTTTCCATTTTGATAAGAATGAGAATGAAAAATATAGACATTAAGGGCCCCACGCAAGATATAGAAATTCAAATTTGGTATTTTGATATGATTGATAACGATTATATTTTTCATTTTAATGAAAAAAGAATGAAAAACAAACAGAGGTTATAATTTACGGAGATGTTCTTCTATCCACGACGGGAACTTTTATTTTGTCTATTTGCAAAGAATCGTATCACGTTTGGAGAGATCCACGTCAAGTAGGAAAACAATTTTGCTAAAATTTATTCAAAAATTAGTGTGGACGCTATTGTATGACAATCCACTGGAGGCATTTTTTTCCTGCACCACTTTGAGTCATTTGCCAGCTTTCATACAGTGAAAATTGGGGTCCATATTCATTATTTTAAATAATTCTTCATCTTCAAAAGACGATGGCCACACATATTACCTTTGTCCCCAGTCTAATGTAGGTTTCTCTGGACCTATGATTTCTAAAAACGTGCAACATATTTTTGAACGCCTTTCCTGTCGTCTGCAGAACATTTAATGAAAATATTTATGAGAAAAAAAAAATCGTTCACTCCGTACCTGTGGACCCCATTTCAAATGGAGCAAGAATTAGCCGCGTCTAATCAAGTAAATGGGACAGTATTGGACAATGGACAGTTTCTACCTTTAATGGCCGACGAATGCCATATCTACGTCGTTGCCAACCCGATCCCTTTTTATAACTGTCATAATTGAATCATTTTTACTGCACAACTAATTAAATTTTTTTAACTTTTTTTATAAGAATATATATATCCATAAACTCTTAAGCTTTGTTTGAACCTCATTTTTTCAAAAAAAAAAAAAAAAAAATTTTAAACAATAATTTAACATCACTTCAATCACATATTTTTTAATAAAATAATATTACACGTAAATTTAAAAAATTTTTTTATTTTTAACCATACATTTCTCGTCGATACATATTCAAAAATGCATTATTAGAAATATAAGAGGCGTTTGTTTTCCATTTTTGTAAGAATGAGAATGAAGAATATAGCCGTTATGGCCCCACACAAAAGATAAAAATTCAAATTTTTTGGTTTGATGTGATGAATAACGACCATATTTTTCATTTTAATAAGAAAAAATGGAAAACAAACAGGGATATAATGTGGCTCAAACACGGGCTTAATTGATTTATTATTTTACCTACTCTTGAATAATAATATTTTGAATTGCCAGAATTTTCATTTTTTGATTTACAAACTTTCTTCTCAAAGTTTGAGTCGTCAAGTATGTACCAGCCATTGCCATGAAACATCTACTTCAATTTATTTCTATGCTATTGATCTCAACTTTCACAATTCTTGAAAAATATTCGTTTGTTAAGCTCATTTGTAAAGTAAGAAGAGCTAGATAATCTTTTTAATGATTTTCTTTCAATTCCTTCTTTTGTGCAGCAGTTAAAGTAGAAATAACATCTCTGATAGTATTCATTTTTACTGGTGATATTCCACAAATTTAGCATAGAAAATTAAGTTTTTATTTTAATGGATAAAAAATTGTAGTTGTCTCCATGAAATAATATAGTCAAATTACATGTGTGAAAAGCGTCAATCGTAGTATAAGCTTAAGCTCAATAAAAATTGAACGTAACTCTTATACCATTGATAATTTTTATTACGGTTAGGTGAAATAAGTTGATTTAGATTAAAATGCTTTAGTAGATTTTAGGGAAAATTGCAGCCGAGGTACCAAACCTTTTGTTTATTAGTAAATTTTGCCCAAATCTTTAGTTTGTGCCAACCATGATACCAAACCTTTAAAAAACTTGCAATGGAAGTCCAAATGGATGAAAACTGTTAATTTGACCGTTAATTGACCAAAGATTTAACATTGTCCATTATTTTGACTAATTTTAAAAGAATAAAATGGTAACTTTACATTTTTCAACAAAAAAAATAATTACAATATATTAATAATTAAATCAAAACACAAAAATACTATTCATCTTCTTCTCCCCACCCACTCCACAAAACCAAATCCTACCAAAATCGACAGCCACCAAACACAAGTATCAACAGCATCTTCTCCACTCCACCCCACCTGCCCACCCCCAACCCCATCTGGAAATAGACCCACGACGACACAGCTCCGTCACTCGTCGATCATCGCCACCTCCAACTACAAGATACCGACCACCACCCAATGCTACCACTTCTCCCTTTTTTCACCACCGCTAATGACACTTTCACTGATATCTTGACCACAAGAATCCATTACCCAGGTTCTCTAGAAAAATTTAAAACCAGCATTCAAGAAATCGAATCCAAATCCTTCACTCCTCAATGCTGAAATCACCTTCACTCCTCGAGGGCCGCTTTGTTATTTCAAATCTGGTGTGCATAATAGGTTGGAAGCACATTCATCTACCCATGCTGTCGACTGTAGGAAGGGGATGGGGGTGGAACCTCTAAATACTTACTTAATAGAGCCTCTCCAGGTCGAATCTGGTTGTGAATAATTGAAAAATGTCGATGAAGTTTGAAACAAATATTTTAGAGTAAAGAGCAGGAAGTGGCCATGGATTCAGGGGCGGAGCCCCATTAGGCCCAGTGCGGGCAGATGCCCGCACTGAACTTTTGGGCTGGCCCAATTTTTTTTTTTTTTAAGTCCCAGTTAACAGCAGCCCAAGTGAAGTAACCACAGCCCATAACCCGTTTACCGACCCAGACCCATGACCCATCAATTAAATAACCCGTTTGAAATCAACATCTAACCAAACTCGTTTGAAATCGAAAATCTAATCAAAACCTAATCAAAATCGCGTCTCTCTCCCCATCTCTCGCCTCAGGGTCGCCTGCTTGGCTGCTTCTCTGAGTTCTCTCGAAGCTCCGCCGGACTCTCGTCGGCTCTTCTACTTCCAGTCCTCCACCGGTGGCCACATCTCCTGGATTAGTGTATCAAATATCCCCAAAGTCGAAACTTGAAACCCCAATTTTCCCCCACCCAAGTCCGCACTCCGCAGGCCGCCGCAACTGAACTGCCGTTTTGCATCGATGAAGGTAATATTTCATGAATTGTTCGACTGCTAGTGTAAAAAAAGGTGTCCTTTATGTCTATGAAGCTTGTATTTATTTTCATTGATTTCGGACTGGCTGGACTGCTGGAGCAGTGGAGTCGCTGGAGTCGACTGGACAGAATTGTTTCTAGATGAAACGAATGAAATGGATTAATGGAACACGTTTATTTGTATAATAATTTGGCCGCGTTTGAGTGTTTCGATTTGTAATTTAAAATTATTTCCACAATTCCACTGCATTGTAGTATTCTAAGTGTTTTTCCCAATTTTGCAAAATCTTTTCTCAATAAGATTGTTCAATTCTTGTTCATTGAATTCACTGTTTTTGGCTTAAAAAATGAAGCTCGACCTTCATGTTTATTTGATTGTCGAGAATTTTATGCAGTTGATCAGTTGATCTGGATGGAGCGTTATTTTCACTGTTTATGCAGTTGATCCGGATGGAGCATGTACTGCTATCCAATTCATGACATTTTGCAGCATAAACTCCTTTTTAACAGAGGTATTTTATTTGTCAACCTACTGTCTTGTGTGTTTCATCATTTGTCAACTGGTTTGATGTCTTTAATTGTTTGACCCAAATAAAAGCTTGATTTCAAGTCATCAATTTTACTCCAAAATGAATACTTCCCTTTAACATTGTCGATATTTTAATGGAAATTTTAAATGTGCAGATTTTTTTCCTTCACATTTTTTATTCGTATTCCGAATTCAACTTGTATTAATATTGGTTGTAACAACTTGAGATGTGAATTGCATTGCGAATTGAGATTGTGAATTTATGATTCTTTTGTCATTATGAATTATTTTCACCCATTCCTAGTTGGATATCAAATGTTTAAATTCAGATATGAAATGAATAGATACTTTCAACGAAAAAGGAACGTAGATAATATTGATGAGGGGGTATCGAATGATGTGGAATTTGATGTCACAAAACTTCCAACTGATCCTGGTCTAAGGATATCTATTTTGGATTACAATGCTAACATCCGAGATGAAGTTCGAAGAGCATATATGTTAAAGGGTCCTTGTCAGCCTGGAGATCATGACTTTCCAAAACGACAATTTGGAGTAACAAGTAGACGATTCAATCCTTCGTGGTTTAAAGAGTTCAGTAGTTGGTTGGAGTACAGTATAGAGAAGGACGCTGCTTATTGTTTGTATTGTTATCTTTTCAGAACAAGTTCTGGAAAGCAAGGTGGCGGTGAGTCTTTTGTTGGCGAAGGTTTTACATATTGGAAAGATAAAAAAAGACTGCATACTCATGTTGGACTTCATGATAGTGCACATAATCAAGCTCGCATTAAGTGTGAAGTGTTGATGAATCAAGAGCAACACATCCAATCAGTTTTCTACAAACAATCAGAACAAGCAAAAAGTGCATATGTTACACGTCTTAATGCATCCATTGATTGTGTTCGAGTTCTTTTGCGACAAGGGCTGTCATTTCGAGGTCATGATGAATCTGAGGATTCTCTCAATCCAGGTAACTTCTTAGTGCAATTGCAATTTTTGGCTGCTCATAATGAAGCTATTAATGCCGTTACATTGGGAAATGCTCCTCACAATTGCAAATTGACATCACCTGATGTTCAAAAGGATATAGTAAATGCTTGTGCCATTGAAACGATCAATGTTATTATCAAAGATGTTGGGGACTCATTATTTTCTATTCTAGTTGATGAATCTCGTGATGTGTCAATGAAAGAGCAAATGTCTATTGTTTTACGTTATGTAGACAATAGTGGGCATGTCAATGAACGCTTCATAGGGATTGAACATGTTACAAGTACCACGGCTCTATCACTTAAGACTGCAATTGATAAGGTATTTTCTAGATATAACTTGAGTATGTCTAGATTGAGAGGACAAGGTTATGATGGAGCAAGTAATATGCAAGGTAAGTTTAATTGTCTGAAAACACTCATTTTGAAGGAGAGTCCATGTGCCTTTTACATTCACTGTTTTGCTCATCAACTCCAACTTGCGCTTGTGGCTGTGGTAAAGAAGAACATCCCTATTACTAACTTCTTTCGTGTGGTTGGGGACGTGATAAATACTGTTGGAGTATCTTCCAAATGTTGTGATCTTCTTCGAGAAATACAATTAGACTTTTATTGTTGAGGTATTGGAAAAAGGTGAGATTTTAAGTGGACGGGGACTTAATCAAGAAACGATCCTTCAGCGCTCTGGTGATACACGATGGAGTTCACATTATAATTCTTTGGTCAGCTTGCTTGCCATGTTCTCTTCTATTTTAGATGTACTTGCAACAATTGTTGAAGATGAATCTTTTTCTTGTGATCAAAGATCTGATGCAACAAATTTATTGGAGTTGACACAAAAATTTGATTTTGCATTTAATCTACAGTTGATGAGAAATGTCTTGGGGATGTCAAATGAACTGTCAAAGGCATTGCAAAGGAAAGATCAAGATATTGTGAATGCAATGCAATTGGTGAGATTGTGCAAACAACGACTCTAAATAATGAGAGACGAAGGGTGGGACTCCTTTTTGTAAAAAGTATGTTCTTTTTGTCAACAACATTATATTCATGTACCCAACATGGATGATATGTTTGTACGCCTTGCAATTTGTGGTCGCCCTCAGCATTATTCTACAGAAATTACAAATTTACATTATTATCGAGTATATTTGTTCTACTCTGTCATCGATTTACAATTTCAAGAATTGAATGATCGTTTTTCGAAGGTAAATACAGAGTTACTCCTTTGTGTAGCTTGTTTATGCCCACAAGATTCATTTTCTTCTTTTGATAAGAAAATTTTGATTAGACTTGCTGAGCTTTATCCGATGTCATTGTACTGAACGATCAGCTTGAGACTTATATTTTTGACATGCTTTCTAACAAAGAGTTTGAAGGGTTGAATGATCTTGGTGATCTTGCGAAGAAGTTGGTTCTGAAAAAGAAAGATAGGGTTTATCCTTTGGTTTACAGACTTTTGACTTTGGCATTGATTTTACCGGTTGCTACCGCTACTGTGGAGAGAGTCTTTTCTGCAATGAGTATTGTAAAGGATAGATTGCGCAATCGGATGGGTGATCAGTGGATGAATGATAGCACAATTGTTTATGTAGAGAAAGATATATTTTTGAAGCTTGATAATGAAGTTATTGTACGACGATATCAAAATATGAAAACTCGCAAAGAACAAATTTAATATATAAATTATGTCTTTTTAGTATTGTTCTAGTATTGTTTTATTTTTTTATCATCATTAAATCTATGACCAAAACCTCGAAATTCGGCGTCGAAAAATGATGCCCGCACTGAACATAAATCTTGGCTCCGCCCCTGCATGGATTTAGCTAGTTTTTACAACGGTGTGATGCAACTCTGGGACTATCGAATGGACACTTAATTGATCACTTTGACGTTGGCAGTTGCTACTCGTGTTGATGGTTCGGTAGTGTATGGTGGTTGAAAGTGGTCGGAGCTAGTGGATTGTGTGGGTGGGCTTGGTGGTGTCGTTGCTGAAGGTGGTTAAAATGAGGGGAGGGGAGGGGAGGGGGTAGGGTAGGGGTGAAAGAGATGAAGATGCAAATTTCTTTTTCTTTTTGTTTTTAGCTTAATTTTATTTTTAAAAGGTTAAATATGTGATTGACGTAAATGCCCTTACCAAATTTGGTCAAAATCAAAATTTTTTGTCAACTAACGGTTAATTGGATGGTTTCCATCCATTTGGACCCCCGGTGCATATTTGTGAAAGGTTTGAGACTGTGGATGGTATAAAATGAAAATTTGGATAAAGTATATAAAAACATGAAAAATTTGGGACCGCTGCTGCAATTTTAGCTAGATTTTATAGGAGACAAAATTTGTAGGGATAGAAATAGTGGAGAGCAATTTGAATAGAAAAAATAGTTCAATAAATAATTAATTTATTAAAAAATTTTAAAATGGAGAATGTAGGTAGGGATGGCAATGGCTCAGCCCGGCCCTTTAACCCACGTGTTTGGCTCGAACTCTTGGCGGGTTGAGCCGCTCACTAGCTCATGATTTTTAAAATTTATTTTTGGGTAAATTTTCACATTTTTTGACGAGTTCAAGCCGTCCACGAGTCGAGTTTTGATAAAGCGAGCGGTCGAGCCGTTCAACATCCCTAAATATAGGCTAGTGTATTACAATCAATTGGACGCTATTTATTGTAAAACACCATTTTCGCCCCTTTGGCGCCTTCTTAGCTTTCAATGTATGTTTCCCAAAGTTACTCTAGGTTTCTGTAGAAACTTTAATTTCTAGAAATGTACTACATATTTTATCAGAAACTAATATACAACATGTACAGTCTCAATTTATGTCTATAGAAGGTATAAGATGCTGATGCTGATGCTGATGCTGATGCTGAATTTGTGGTGCTCAATACACTACTAGAAACTGCGATTCAGTAACAGAAATTTATCTATTGTCAATTTTTGTTGCTATTCGCAATGACTTATCGACGGAATAATTAAATTACCAATGGATAATAAACAATATATCTTTATTTTTATTTTTCAAACAATGATATTTAAATACCGACTGAATTCCTTATGGAAGAATTTCGTTGATAAAATTGTCGATAATTAATTTTATCTTACGGATTTTTCCACTAATGATTCTGGTGGTAGCTATATAGTTCTTTTCTTTTCTTTTTTCTTTTTTATTTTTTTCAAGGTTCAATGGAAACAATCAATTGATAAATACTTTATTTCATCGACAAATTATTGAAAAATCGACAAAGTTCTTCTAAAAACTCATATTATGTTCAGCAATAATAATAATAATGATTTCCACACAAAAAATGGGAAAATAATAAATAATTTGTGGGAAAATGTAGAGTGTCTTTGGTACAATAAATTTTGCGGTTAACATTGAATTTCTATTTTGTAAATATATTATAAGTTTCATTTTTATTTTCTAAAAATCGATAAAAATTGGAATAAATATTGATAATTTTGAATTGAGAACTTTGTTTTAGATATACATTTTAAATTAGAAATTTGGAGATTCTCGAAACATAACAATAGATATTACAAGTGATGACAAGTTCGTCGATAATTTTCATCAAACTAAGCCATCGTTAAAATGGTTGCTGGTAGTTGTCATTGAGATCCATCAATATTTTTATGTGTAGGTAATTTCATCAATAATCACCGACAATTAGAGGGGAATACTTTTACCAACAAAATAGCTATTTGCAACATGCAACGTGCTAGAATTCCTGTCTAAATCCACTGCACGACAAACTAAATTTGTAGCCTAGCAATGAACCTAACGAAAGTCCAACTACATGGAAGCAACCAATGTTTATTAAGGCCACGAACACTTGCCATCCTTAGAAGTCAATGTTATCAATACGAAAGCAACTGAATTGACAGAACTTATTCTTAGGGTCTATTTGATTACAAAAATGGAATTTAAGTGGAAAGAAAATAAATTTCAGGAAATTGAATTACCTAAAAATTGTTATCCCGAGAATTGTAAATTATTGTATTTGATTGGTATAATTTTCGACGTGGAAAATGTTGAAATAAAAGTATTGTTTGGTATTCATTTGGTTTTGTTTTACATGAAAATTGTCAATTAAAGGGATATAATTTGCTGGTATTGAAGATTAAATTTTTTTCCATTGCCGCAACAAAAAAATCATTTATCTTTTGGTGTTTGTTTGACTTTATTTTATATGAAAATTGTCAATTAAAGGGAAATATATATTTTTTAATAATTCTTGGAATTTGTTTCCATTGTCAACAATAACAACAACAACAACAACAATAATAATAATAAATAAATGCTACAGTGACTATAATTGGAATTACAATTCAACGAAAACCTAGAAAATGGCTTATGTGGCAAGAAACTTGGAAATGAAATTTTATGGAAAATTTTGGCGATCAAACACGTTAGAATTGATTTTCCATTTTTTAGGAAAAATTTTCACTTATCATACATACCCTTATTTTCTATTTAAAAAGCATAAAAGACTAGAAAATTGAGTTAATAAAAGTGATTATTCTTTTTTATTCAAAACAAAGAACAATATTGTTTCAATACTCTGAAAGAAACATTATGATCCTATTAATATTATTATGTTGTTGCATATGAAGAAATAAGACTTTTATATTAATAGTATTAAAAAGACGTCACAAGATGTGTTGATAAAAAGTGAATGGTAAATTGTGGGCTCATAAAATCTGAGAATAATTGCGTTTGATGCCAAACATGTACCTATTTAAGTTGACTTGTTAATTATTTAACAATCATATTTACAAAAAAATTAAAAATTTCATATTTTTAAAAATTTTATAACAATATTTATAATAGCATTATTTAACTACAGAGATCTCATCCAAACGAAAGTCTGAAATAATATATTTTACTAAGTAATAAGAAAGAAAGAATATAACTTAAATATAATAAATTAATAGTGTGGATGGATAAAATAGAAAATTAATATGTGTCTTTTGCCGACGTGGGAAAATCTCTTACCAGAAGTAAACCTCGCATGAGATTTCTGAAATTTTTGAAAATAAAGAGGATACAGTATCTATGTATTTTGAGTAATGCCGTTTGTACCCGAGTGTTTACACGCTCGGTCACACGATCCCATCTCCCCCCTCACATGGGGCGAGGTCACACATTGGGGCCCACGCGTGGGACCCGACCCCCATGTGAGGGCGAGGTGGAACCAGGTAACCAGACGTGTAAACGCCCGGGGTACGAATAGCGTGATCAATGTAATTTTCTTCATTATTAAAGAATCCGCAAGAAAGTTCGTAAGGATAATTTAAGTGAACCACTGTTATTTATATGAGTGAATGGTTCCAGTTTGAGTGGTTGTTAAGTTGTTTTCAGACCTAATTATTATTTTATAAATGGTTTGAAAAATGAATTTAAAACTTATCTTTCAAACAAGTGGAAAATAAATATTTGATGGGAAATTTTCCTATAATAATTAAATTGAAACATTTTAAATATAAATGTTCAATATCGATACATTTGTCTTAAAATAAGTTTTAATTAATAAATTAGTACAAGTTCAACCATAATATATAAAAGTTTGTAATTTCATCTTTAGATGAGAAAATTATTATAAATAAATTGTTTTTTTAAAGAACCATAGAAGCCGACTAATTAGTAAATTTGTTGAAGTATAAATTGATCAAATAAATAATATATCTTGGACAAAACAAATAATTTTTTTTTTTTAAAAAGGCTAAGTTATTGAATTTGGATTGAAGTAACTATTAATTATCGAAACCAAAATCAAATCATTTTCAAACAATTTGATTTGGATTTTAGTTTTGAAATTGTCGAAATCTAAACAACATAAATCTAAATCAATGGTTTCAACATCGCAATTTTGATTTGTTTGGTGGGTTGGTGACTTGAAGGTGTTTTTGCTCACCGTAAATAATTTACGCTAACCCGTGGGGGAAAAAAGAGTAGTAAATTGAGATATACATTATTTAAAACTTGAAATAAGAGAATTTTTTATAATTTAAAAAAATAATAATAATAAAAAAATGAAGGAGATGTATCATAAACTTTAGACGGTGTATTGGTTACTCGAGCTTTGAAGAAGGTTGGTTAACCTAATCTGAAAATAAAGCGCGTCTTGAAATTGTCGTAAATTTCAAAAAATATATTTGCATTATTTAAATTCTAAAATAAAGGAGATTTAATATGGGTTCATTTGATTGCAAAGATAAAATTTGGGTGGAAAGAAAACAAATTTCAGGAAATTAAATTATCTAGAAATTATTTTCCTGAAAATTGTCAATTTATTGTCTTTGATTGATATAATTTTTCACGTGAAAAATGTTAAAATAAAAGTGTTTTTTGGTATTCGTTTGACTTTATTTTTATATGAAAGTTGTCAATTAAAAGGATAAATTTTACTGGTATTGGGAATAAAATTTATTTTCATTGCCAAAAAAAAATCATATATCTTTTTGGTGTTCGTTTAACTTTATTTTACATGAAAATTGTCCATTAAAGAAAAATATTTTTTTACAATAATTATTATAATTTGTTTCCATTGCCCAAAAAACGAAAAAAATAAAAAAATCGCTATAATAACCGGGATTTTCCTCAATTCCATGGAAAATGTCTAGGTGGCACCCAAAGTTGGAAAAGATTTTCCATGAAAAATAAATCCTATCATACACTACAAAAGTTGGAAAATGAACTTGATTTTCCAAGTTCCATGAAAAACCTTTGGCTATCAAACATAGCCTAAATTCTTTAATAACAAATGTACCTAAAATTATCACGAACTTCGACTTCACTTTCTCTATAAATCCTATAAATTGTTGCATGGTTCGAGTGTGATTTAATCTTTAGTCCCTGTTTGACCCCCATTACCTGAAAATGAAAATGAGAGGAATAGTATTTTTTAGAAAAATGAGTGGTTGAAAAAGAAGGAAAAGTTTTCGATTTACGTGTAATATTATTTTATGGAAGATTGTGTGGTTGAAAATAAGAGAGAGAAAAATGAAATGTAATGTAATTGAATTTAATGGGGATCAAACATGGGCTTAATGATAAGTAATCAGTTTTAAATAAACGAATGAATTTTGTTGCTTTGCCTGAAATTTTTTGTCAAAATTATTGACATTTTCTCACATGCGTGTGGATTCCTCGTAAATAAAAAAAGTCCAAAAACATTAAAGCGATCCCCATCATTGTAACGGTCAATCACACTCTCGATCGACCATTTTTGGTTCTGTAACAGGATTGTCAACAAATATACTTAACAGCATATTTCACGGACTAGTCATCTATCAATCAATACAAATGAAAGCTTAGTAAAGATATTTTAGCAACTGCATTATTGAGACCACTACTTAATAATGACCTTTTTTTTTTTTTTTTTGAAAAAAAATGATTATTTCCATTTCCAGTATCTAACATAATTCGAACAGATTCTGTCATGAAATAATTGCCCGAAAATCATATACTAGTCAATGTATGTATTCTCCGTTGATTCGACGGTACCGATATCACGATGACGTTAAATCACAGCCGTCAATCACTTCTCACTCTACTTTTCGATATTCTCCTTCACTCTCCCCGTCCTGAGTTAATCTAACCGGCAAATCGTCGTTTATGGAACCTCGGACTGAGTCGACTAGGATCGTCACGCGACTCTTACTCAGCCATATTACGTATAGATACCAGTAGCTCAAAGGATACCGATGAGGGCGAGTCTTTTCAGCCGTCGGACGATAAGGCAGGGTGCGATATCGTCTGTTGGATCTGTGAAGATCAAGTTATTGCTCGCCTTTGTTATTTTATTCACTCTAATTGCGCTCGTCGGTCGTACGCCATCGTTTAAGGGATGGAGACACCAAGATGCTTCTCTCCATCGATCCTCTCGTCCCAGGTCGGTATCAATAGGAATATAATATATTCAATCGCGTTAATTATGTTATTTACGGAAGCGTTTTTGTTTTATTAAGTTCGTTAAGTAGCTTGCATTTATGGTAATTAATTATTAAATAAGTTATTTAATTTTTGGGTAACATTTTTTGTCCGGACATAGTTAATAATTATCCTTACATAATTAATGCTTAATATTTTTCAGGATAGTTATACTCCTATTTTTAATTGCGTAATTTAAATTGTAGCGTTAATTAGATTTTAGTTTTCTAAGTTTTTTTTTTTTTATTATTTTTTGATTGCTCTTAATATCACCAGAAAAGTGGAAGTGTAACAACATACCAGAAATTTGCAGTTGGGGTGGTGAATTGATACTAAAAATGTGAACATGGTCATTATTTTTGATAACGATTCTGAGCTTGTCTTCTGTCTAATATTTACCCATTCTTTGCTTCTCAAAGTAGTGTTATTCGATTTCCTTTTAGCAATTTTAATATGATTCCCGATTTTTACAGCTTTCGAATTAGCACAAAGGCAATAACTAACGATTGCCCCCCTGCAAAAGTTGGCAATGTTTATTGGTAATAAGTATAACGGAAGCCTTGATAGTATAACTGAGACGAATTTTAGGATAGTTGACCAATTAGCAGACCCTTTTATTACAGAATATTTCTTTTTATGTTTTTGTTCTTTATTTAGGATATCTTTCCTGGCTGAATGTTGGTCATGCAGAGGTGTTTCATTACAAATCTATCTTGTTAGTTTTATGCCCCAAGCAATGAGGTGTTTCATTTTTGAGTTCAACATCATGAGATGGATTCTTTAGTTCATTGAAATTTTAACTTTGTCAAGCATTTAGATGTGCTTGCATGTATTGATTGCAATGTCTTTTCTCGTTGCAAATGCAACAGGCGCTCCTCCCATTTGGGTAAAAGGTAATGATTTATGGCCTCGGCCTTCTTTTCAATTTTACTTTTTTAAGTTTTCCTATAATGCTATTCTACTTCTATAAATGGACATTTATTGACTAATAGTAGTTCTCCTATTAAAATTGTTTAGAATTTTTGGAAAAGAAGGAAAAATAAATAAATAAATAAATATTAAATTAATTGGAATCTTGCCCTAATTTCATGTGTTGTACAGGAAAAAGTATGCCTTGTTGATTAATACATGGAAACGAAATGATCTTCTGAAGCAGTCCATATCCCATTATGCATCATGTCCAGGGCTTGGTTCTATACATATTGTTTGGAGTGAGCCTGACCCTCCTTCAGATTCTCTTATTAAATTCCTTAACCATGTTATACAGTCAGATTTTAAAGATGGTCGAGAAATTGAATTGAAATTTGATATCAATAAGGAAGACAGTTTGAACAACAGATTTAAAGAAATCAAGGATTTCAAGACGGATGCAGTCTTTTCAATTGATGATGATATTATATTTCCTTGCACTACAGTAGAATTTGCTTTTAATGTCTGGCATACTGCACAAGACACAATGGTTGGATTTGTACCACGACTCCATTGGGATGATAGATCGGTATGTGCTATGAGCCATTCAAGTATTTTGAGTAATTTATTCAATATAAATGTTGTGCCAATTAAATCAAAAAATTATGTCATTCGTTGATATTAATGTAGATGACTATTTGTTCCATATTTCCCATTATAAACTTAAGTAAACATTATTTATGTTCATAATAAAACTTTAGTGCATTTGTTTTATTTTTCATATTATAATCGTGTTAATGATTCAGGTCGATGTCCATTTAATATCAAATTGGGCTCTCAATGGCCCACGTGTCGAATATGAACCTTTATCGTATGTTGTTTTACCTTTTCTTATTTTGTGCCATCATTTGTTCTTGAATTCTAATGCAATAAGTTCTTAGATTATAGAACTTTCATCATTTTATGGTTGTGACTTTTGAGTGAGATCTAATATGTGATTACTGCATATTATTAGTGCTCGAGTGCTGGTGTGGAGACGATTCTTATAGCTCTCTTACTAGAATACTGCTTGACTTGATTATCTGTTTCAATGGGCACTTTTGCAAGAATATTCACATTGTAGAATTAAATTTTCCAACTTTAAATTTTTACCTAGAAATTCTTGTCGCAGAAAGGCAATCGGGGTAACTACGTGTACCGGGGATGGTGGTCTGTTTGGTGGACGGGTACATACAGTATGGTTCTCTCTAAAGCTGCCTTCTTTCACAAAAAGTACCTGAATTTGTACACATATAGCATGCCATCGTCTATAAGAGAATATGTAACGAAGAACAGGTTCTTGTCATACTATCAATTCTTTTATTAGCTTTTTATTCGTTTATTAGTTTCCACTTTCTCACTTCCTATTAATTCAAAACTGATACCTTATTTTGACTAAATTACTAGGAATTGTGAAGATATTGCAATGTCTTTTCTCGTTGCAAATGCAACAGGCGCTCCTCCCATTTGGGTAAAAGGTAATGATTTATGGCCTCGGCCTTCTTTTCAATTTTACTTTTTTAAGTTTTCCTATAATGCTATTCTACTTCTATAAATGGACATTTATTGTTCTTTCCTCAGTTAACTAAGTTTGGATTCATGCTTATGTTCTTGTTTTATATCCTTCAAGAGAAGTGCAGTGGGTACGTGGAGGGAGAAAACACTTTTTTTTTTTTTTTTAAAACAGAAATTGCATGATTCAAGTTTCTGGAAGTAGCAGCATAACATATATCTCTGGGACAAAAACAGTTATTGTAGATAAGTGAACAAAAAGAAGAGTAAGATGAAGTAATAGGAATCTGTTTGTGAAAGGTTTGGACTTGCGGTGGTGTGGCTGGAAGATAGATCTCTTTCTTTGAACTTTACTCGTACATGTGGATTTAGATTTTTGAATAAGTTGAGCTTGTGTTATTGCCAATTGGCTATAAGATGATTTCTTTAATGAGATTTTATCATCGAATCCATTTCTCTTGAGAAAAAAAATGCACATGGAGGCTCTTCAAAGCATTGTCTGATGAATGAAAAGCTCAAACATCTCTTGAGGTCTCACAAAATCGAAGCTACTCCTTACGTTTGATTCAAAAGCAATTACCCTTGATACTGGCCAAAAATAATTAGTAGATGCACCTCGTATCTCAATTTGTTAATAATGTAAACCTCATTACTATTACTAATTTTCCTTTCAGCACATTTGAAAACAAAAACAAAAGACATTACTTTTATATATAGTATAAGAATCAAAATCCAACTTTTATGTCTATGTAATTATACAATAAATTAAACAAATAAAAAGCTTCCTTGCAACTCTTTCTTTTTCTGCCTGTTGAATATTGAGAAGTGTTTCACTTCTTGTTTTCAATTTGTCATTCAAGTTCTAAATTAGCCAGTGTTCAGATTCTAACTAGCCCAGTACACTGGTCGTTGTAAGAAAAAATGCCAAAATATGGTTAATGCATACTGTTGTTCTGATTGTGATTTTAGTATGCAGCGGAAATAAGGATAGATTCTATCACCGTGGAGACGATTCTTATAGCTCTCTTACTAGAATACTGCTTGACTTGATTATCTGTTTCAATGGGCACTTTTGCAAGAATGTTCACATTGTAGAATTAAATTTTCCAACTTTAAATTTTTACCTAGAAATTCTTGTCGCAGAAAGGCAATCGGGGTAACTATATGTACCGGGGATGGTGGTCTGTTTGGTGGACGGGTACATACAGTATGGTTCTCTCTAAAGCTGCCTTCTTTCACAAAAAGTACCTGAATTTGTACACATATAGCATGCCATCGTCTATAAGAGAATATGTAACGAAGAACAGGTTCTTGTCATACTATCAATTCTTTTATTAGCTTTTTATTCGTTTATTAGTTTCCACTTTCTCACTTCCTATTAATTCAAAACTGATACCTTATTTTGACTAAATTACTAGGAATTGTGAAGATATTGCAATGTCTTTTCTCGTTGCAAATGCAACAGGCGCTCCTCCCATTTGGGTAAAAGGTAATGATTTATGGCCTCGGCCTTCTTTTCAATTTTACTTTTTTAAGTTTTCCTATAATGCTATTCTACTTCTATAAATGGACATTTATTGTTCTTTCCTCAGTTAACTAAGTTTGGATTCATGCTTATGTTCTTGTTTTATATCCTTCAAGAGAAGTGCAGTGGGTACGTGGAGGGAGAAAACACTTTTTTTTTTTTTGGGGGGGGGAAAAAACCCTTTTTTTTTTTTTTTTAAAACAGAAATTGCATGATTCAAGTTTCTGGAAGTAGCAGCATAACATATATCTCTGGGACAAAAACAGTTATTGTAGATAAGTGAACAAAAAGAAGAGTAAGATGAAGTAATAGGAATCTGTTTGTGAAAGGTTTGGACTTGCGGTGGTGTGGCTGGAAGATAGATCTCTTTCTTTGAACTTTACTCGTACATGTGGATTTAGATTTTTGAATAAGTTGAGCTTGTGTTATTGCCAATTGGCTATAAGATGATTTCTTTAATGAGATTTTATTATCGAATCCATTTCTCTTGAGAAAAAAAATGCACATGGAGGCTCTTCAAAGCATTGTCTGATGAATGAAAAGCTCAAACATCTCTTGAGGTCTCACAAAATCGAAGCTACTCCTTACGTTTGATTCAAAAGCAATTACCCTTGATACTGGCCAAAAATAATTAGTAGATGCACCTCGTATCTCAATTTGTTAATAATGTAAACCTCATTACTATTACTAATTTTCCTTTCAGCACATTTGAAAACAAAAACAAAAGACATTACTTTTATATATAGTATAAGAATCAAAATCCAACTTTTATGTCTATGTAATTATACAATAAATTAAACAAATAAAAAGCTTCCTTGCAACTCTTTCTTTTTCTGCCTGTTGAATATTGAGAAGTGTTTCACTTCTTGCTTTCAATTTGTCATTCAAGTTCTAAATTAGCCAGTGTTCAGATTCTAACTAGCCCAGTACACTGGTCGTTGTAAGAAAAAATGCCAAAATATGGTTAATGCATACTGTTGTTCTGATTGTGATTTTAGTATGCAGCGGAAATAAGGATAGATTCTATCAAGACCGGATCAGTTCAGTAATAAGAACATAACAAAGGATATTTTAAGAGAAACTTTTTTTTATATATGACTTATATGATTTGAGTACATGACAAACCTATTTATAGGATAGCATAAGACTACTAAGAGTCACACAATTAAGAAGAATAATAATGACTAATAATGATGATGAATGCATCCATTAATAATGACTAATAATGATGGTGAATGCATCCATCTCTTTATCTTCCTCTCCAACACTCTTCATATTTCATCATGTGGAGAAAACCAAAAGTCTTCAATAATCAACATTCTCCTCCTTGAAGCTTTTGGGTAAAACTCCAATCTTCAATCTTAAGTCTTCAAACCTGGATTTGGGCAATGCGTTAGTGAACATATCTGCAATTTGAGATTCACCTGGACAATATTGGAGATGAACTTCTCCTTCTTTCTCAGCTTGTGTGATAGCATGGAACTTCACTTTAATATGCTTTGTTCTTCCATGATCAACTGCATTCTTTGCAACAGCAATGGCTGATTGATTATCCACCATGATAGTTGTAGGATCATCTTGACTTTTCGCAAGATCATTAAGAATTTTCCTCAACCAAACGGCATGATTTACAACTGATGATGCTGCTATATATTCAGCTTCTGCTGTGGATTGTGCCACTACTTCTTGCTTCTTTGAATTCCAACAGAATGCTCCCGAACCAAGTGTAAATAGATAATCACTCGTGCTCTTCATATCATCCACGGAACCTGCCCAATCACTATCTGAATATCCAATCAAATTTGAGCCAACTCCTCCAGCAAAATAGATGCCATGATTTATTGTTCCTTTGATATACCTAAGGACCCTTTTGGCAACTCCAAAATGTGTTTGTGATGGCTTACTCATGAATCTAGAAAGTAAGCTTGCCGCAAACATCAAATCTGGTCTTGTTGCTGTCAAGTACAGTAAACTTCCAACAAGACTCCTATATTCCTTCTCATTGATTGGCTGGTCTCCATCTTCTTTGGATAATTTTGTGTTCAACGCAACTGGTGTATCAACTGGTTTACACTGCTGCATCTTGAACCTCTTCAAGATATCACTTGCATATTTCTTTTGTGAAATGAAAATACCATTTTCTGTTTGCTCAACCTCAATGCCCAAAAAATACTTCATCTCTCCAAGATTTGTCATCTCAAATTCTTCCTTCAATTTATCAGCAAACAAATCAATTTGCTTTTTACTGTTTCCTGTAATGAGTAAATCATCCACATACATGGACAGAATCAAGATATCAGAATTTTCATCACTCTTCACATAAAGAGTATGTTCATTTTCACTCCTCCTGAATCCTTTAGCGCATAGATAACCATCTATTTTGCTGTACCAAGCTCTTGGCGCCTGTTTCAAACCATGCAAGGCCTTTTTCAGCTTGCATACATGATCAGGATAGATTCTAGACTGGAAACCTTCAGGTTGTTCAACAAAAACATCCTCCTCCAGTTCACCATTGAGAAATGCGGATTTTATATCCAACTGATGTATCTTCCACTTCTTTTGTGCTGCTAGTGCAATCAATAATCTGATGGTGTCAAACCTTGCAACCGGTGCAAAGGTCTCAAAATAATCAACACCACTTTCTTGTGCAAATCCTCTAGCAACTAACCTTGCTTGTATTTGTTCACTGTGCCATTTGGATTCATTTTTGCCTTATAAATCCACTTCACTCCAATCACTTTTCTTTCATCAGGACGAGGTACCAATTCCCAAGTCTAATTTTTATGAATCATCTCCATTTCAGTTTCCATTGCATCAACCCATTCAGAATGTTGTTGTGCCTCTTCATAACTGCTGGGTTCAACCACTGCCATATTACACCTCTGATAAATCTCATTCAAAGATCTGGTTCCTCTAGGAGCCGAACTAGATCTTGAAGATTCAGAATTTTCTCCACTTAGAACTTTCATCAAATTTTACATCACGGGATATCACAACTTTTTATAGATTTTATAGCCCTTTGTCTGTGAACTATAGCCAATAAAGATCCCCTTCACAGCCTTTTGCTCCAACTTGCTTCTTTTCTGATCTGGGACATGAACATAGCACAAAGACCCAAAAACTTTCAGATGCTTGGCTGTAGGTTTCATTCAACACCATGCCTCAATAGGTGTCATATTTTTCACAGCTTTTGTAGACAACCTATTTTGCAAATAAACGGAAGTATAAACTGCTTCTGCCCAAAACGAATTTGGAAGTCCCTTCTCAGCTAGCATACATCTGGCCATCTCCATGACAGATCTATTTTTCCTTTCTGCCACTCCATTTTGTTGCGGAGTGTAGGGAATGGTAAGCTGCCGATGAACTCCATAATCCTCACAGAATTGATTGAAGTTGGTAGATGTATACTCCTTGCCATTATCCGATCTCAAGGTCTGAATTTTACATCCAGATTGTGCCTCTACCATATTCTTGAATTTTTTGAACACATTGAGCACATCTGACTTGTTTCTCATGAAGTACACCCAACTCATTCTTGTAAAGTCATCAATGAATAGCACAAAATGCAAATTATGACTCAAGGATGGAGTTTTCATGGGACCACAAATATCAGTATGCACAAGTTGCAATTTTCCTGATGCCCTCCATGCACCATCATTAGAAAATGACTCTCTATGCATTTTCCCCAAACTACAGCTCTCACATACTCCTCCAGATTCATGAATTTTAGGCAAATCTCTCACCATGCCATGAGAATGCACATATGACAAAGACTTGTAATTATAATGACCATATCTTCTATGCCACAAATCAAATTCATCCACATCAACTCTAGACATATTTGCAAGTAAGCTATGCCATTGAATGCTAAAACTTCTATTATGCATAGGCAAACTAGCAATTTCAACATCATGAGGATCATAGAGTTTGCATTTCATATCTCGAAAATGCACAGCATATTTCTTTTCAAGCATTTGACCCACACTTAGTAAATTTGAATTCAAACCAGGCACTAAAAGTACTTCATCAATATATCTTGTACTTTTCTTTGTTTGAATAGCAATAGTACCCTTACCTTTGGCTGGTAGGACTCCTCCGCTTCCAATTTTCACCGTGGCCTTCACATTTGTGTCTAAATTTCGAAAAATCTGCTCCATATTGGTCATATGATTGGTGCAACCACTGTCTACAAACCATGTTTCCTTGCTACTCAATTCAGCTCCATGAACAGCTACAAACAAATGGTTTTCACCATTCCTTTCATGTGCAAATGCTGCTTGCTGATTTTGATTTCTTTGTTGATATTGTGGCTGATTTAGATTCTGCTTTTTGGCTCTACAAAACTTTTCAACATGGCCCACTTGCTTGCAAAATTTGCATTGCTTTGTCTTCCAACACTTCTTCTCAAGATGGTTGGTTTTTCCACAATGAATACAAGGAGAAAATGAGTCTCCTTTGCCTTTCTTCTTCCCTTCTTGGTGTTGTTTTCCTCCACCTTCACTTGAACTTTGCGGTTTAAACTTTGCCGCAAGAGCTCCTTCAATAGTTATCTCAGATCTTGATGTTAACCTTTGCTCATAGGCTAACAAAGCACCTGTAAGTTCAGTTAAAGAAAGACTTGACAGATCCTTTGTATGCTCTATAGCCGTGGTAACAGCATCAAACTTTTCGGGTAAGGTAATCAACATTTTTTGCACCACTCTTTTATCTGGTACGTCCTCTCCATTCAATTTAAGCTGATTCACCACATTAGCCACTCTAGAAGAGTAGTCCTTTACGGATTCAGCATCCTTCATCCTTAGATTTTCAAACTCTCTGCTCAAAGTTTGCAATCTTACTGCTCTCACTTGCTCAGACCCTTTGTACTCTTCTTGTAATTTATCCTAAGCCTCTTTTGCTGTTGTAACAGCCACAATCTTGGAAAAAATTGTCTCAGTGACAGAAGAGTGCAAGAAGGTAAGAGCCTTCATATTTTTTATTCTACGATCCTTCTCTTGCCTCATTTGATTCACAGTAGGGTCTGCATAGAACTCCTGTGGAATATAACCTTCTTCAACAATCTCCCATAGATCATGTGCCATCAAGAAAGCCCTCATTCTGACAGACCAATACTCATAGTTTTCGCCTCCAAACATCATAGGGATAGGCATTGAAGTTAGAGTAGAATTTGCCATTTTTCCTCTTTCTCACAGGCCTTTAAGATCAGGAGTGCTCTGATACCAAATGTTGTTCTGATTGTGATTTTAGTATGCAGCGAAAATAAGGATAGATTCTATCAAGACCGGATCAGTTCAGTAATAAGAACAGAATAAAGGATATTTTAAGAGAAACTTTTTTTTATATATGAGTTATATGATTTGAGTACATGACAAACCTATTTATAGGATAGCATAAGACTACTAAGAGTCACACAATTAAGAAGAATAATAATGACTAATAATGATGATGAATGCATCCATTAATGATGACTAATAATGATGGTGAATGCATCCATCTCTTCATCTTCCTCTCCAACACTCTTCATATTTTATCATGTGGAGAAAACCAAAAGTCGTCAATAATCAACACATACCTTCTGGTGGCCATTTTTGGGTTTCTATTAATAAAATTAGACTCCATTGGTAATCTAACTATTATTTACTAGTGTAGGAGGACTTTTGCTTTCTTCAGATGTTAGGGGGTACACTATTTTCCCAAAACCTAAAGAATTCAATTTCCCACTATATGAAGAGCGAAAATGACCATAACATATGAAGAGTGAAAATGATCTTAGGTGTGTTATAGGAATGCTCGAGATTATTGAGCGTAAAGGGAAGCACAAAATGCTGAAGCTCCTGATCTGTGGCTTTAGGATAATTTCAGTCTTATGAAATGGCTGTTCAACCGTATGTTTCTTAAATTGTCTTTTTATGTTCATTAATGTTGCCTTCAAATAACTTTTCTCGTTTTTGCTCCTAAAGTAATAGGTGATTCCTGCTTCTGCATGTGGTCTGTTAAATCAGATTAGTTCGTCAATGTTGAAGGATTCTTGAGAAGCCTAGTTTTAAGGCACCTCGATCCTCAAATTTGTGCCAATAAATCTCAGTATAGTTTTAATAATAAAATGAAGAAATAGTGAGGGCTCATCAATTTTATTATTTTTCTGGAGTCTGCTGTAATGCATTCACTCTAGCTCCTGTCCCATGTGGTCAAAAATTGTTTCACCTTTGCTCCATTAGGATAAATTATAGATATCTAGAAGAGATCTTTAGAAAACCTTTTACGCGATTAACAAGTTGCTTGCCAACCTTATAATATAGAGTAAGTCGATTATCAACCTTTTATTATACTTGGAAATCAATCATTAAAGACACAAACAATCAAAACTCTGTTAAATCCTAATGTGATCCTCGCATGTCCAACTTTATGAAGCTAAGGTTTTGTTTCTCAACTTAGACTTATGTCCAAATTTTGAAATGAGGCATGTTTGCATGGGGATTATGTGACGATTTAACAAAGATTTTGATGGTCTTTGGCTCGTTGGGGATTGATTCTGCAAATATAGTGCAAGGTTGAGGACCAACTTCCTATGTTAACATGGGTTGTGGACCATATCTAGACATTCCTGCAGTGAGTTGCGCTTACTCAACTTAACGGGCCTAACGGATGTGGTAATGTAGGTAAAATATTTGAGATTGGTTCAACTGGAATTAGTAGCTTGGGAGGTCACGCTGAAAAGAGGAGCCACTGTGTTAATAAGTTTGCGGCTGAGTATGGGCGAATGCCTCTGGTATCAACTTCTGTCAAAGCAATGGATAGCCGCAATAGCTGGTTTTGGTGATAGTGTAGTTTCTGAACCTTTTCATTTCACTAGTTTCCACTCATTTAGTTTAGTTTGCTTGTTTCCATTCTTATCAAGTTTGAGGTTTTTGTAACATTAAATCGTTCAGTAAGAAACAGAATTGTTAACAAGTTCATTTAGGTTTATGTCACGCGTCTCATTATTAACAGATAGTATCAATTTTGTACGTCTATTCTTTGATATCCATGGGTAGGGAACCTCTTGATGTCAGCATGGATATGGAGGTTCTCATGTGCTTGATGTAATGATTTTACTTGCTGTGTTAATTTTACATAACAGAAATGAAACATTTTGATGTTAACCGAAAAATTCTGATCTGGTTCGGTTCTGAATTCTAGCTACAGTACCAAATTTTACATATGCATTACATTTTAGCTACACAAAACATTCAGTTTTACTAAATTCAGGCAATAGGAATTCTGCTTCAGCCCTTGCTATGTAAATTTCATTCGTTATAATTATACTTGCACTGAATTGAGTAGTTACGCTTTAGTTTAGTTTCAATCAAGGTAACTTTATCTAATTCAATAGGTGACACGATAGTCAATAATGACTTATCACCACTTGTGGCCTTTAGTTACTAGTGTGTAATAAGTGCAATTTCAGTGAAATAAATTCAGCTAATCATTTATTAATTGTGATGGAGTTACCAGATTGAAACCAAGTCAAATTGTAGTTAATTTAACAAAATTAAAGTACAATTACCTGATGAGCGCTAGAGTGCAAGTATTGTTACCATTAATGAAATTTACTCTGCTATATTTCTACATCAGAGTTACCAATAAATCTCCCTCCATCTTTAAACCCATGACAACTCAATATTGTTATTCATCCTTCTTACATGTATAAATCCAGTTTTTCTCAACCTGGCCTGTTTAGGTAAGAAGTTCCACTAATCTCCCGAGAGTTGGGTACTGGACTCTTGTTCCATGACCGTACTAGTTTACAGTTTCTCTAGAAGTTCGAGGTTGAGCTGCTTGGGTTGGAATTGTCGAGGGGAAAACATGTCTCATCCCCTTCAACGTTCCATAAGAAATTGGCGTATTTAGAAGCACAGTGAGAATTGTCAGGTTCGACCGCCAGGGCTTGTAAATATCTTTCTTCTGCTGCCCGAAAGTCCTGCCTAACTTTCCATAGAAAGGTAGCATATTGGCTCAAGGATTCGGCATCTGGTGGGTGCACTTGTGTTGCCTGCTTGAAGCACTGCTCTGCCCTGTTAATGTCAACAATAAAGTATATAGAAGTCGAGATAAACATATTACAATTGCATAGATTCCTTAGCTACTAAGATCAAGTTGCAATAAACAGGAATTCCCTAACCCTCCATCATAAATAGTCTTGAACCATTTGGTTGATTTTCATACATAAGCTCATGTACATTGCCAATTTAACTGTCACATTTAAAGTCTGGTTTGTTCCCATCTGATGTTAACCTTAATTGATAAGCCAATGAAAACAAAATCAAGAACCCTTGTAAAATGATCTTCAGAATTGATCTCCTGCCCACAGTGAATATGAGATATCTTGCCCACCATCAATGTGACAACATGTGGTGTCACCTCATCGATGGTACACATGTTCCACATCGGATGGTGGACAACATGACTCCTGTCCTTTGAGATCAATTCTACCATGATATTATAAGAAACAGCATGAAGATTCGAGAAAATTACCGATCATAATCGTGGGTCACGAGATCCAGAAACTGTGCATAATTGCAGAGTAAAAGTGGATTATTAGGCTCCTGAGACAAGGCAATCTGGTATAGAAGGTCAGTCCTAAGATAGTCGTCGTAGTCATCCGATTCTAGCTCAACCGATACCGGGGAAACAAACTGTTGCATCATCTCACGATCAAGAATCACATTTCTCAAACCTGCTTGAATCTTTGTTGCTTCTTCCACCACTGAGTTCCACAAATTCAACTCTTCCACACTTGTCAAAACTTGATCACCTACCTGCAAATGTTCTTCGTGAAGAACCTCTAGATGTCGACTTGTCTTTGATGGATTGCTCTTTTGCTCATTCTCGCCTATGCTCCCTGGAACTCCACAGTCTGAAACCATAGTTGAGTCTAGAGATGGTGATCCTAGTAAGGAGACTTCTCCAATAAAAACGTTGTGGCATGCAGAATGTACACTGAAATTTGCTACAAGGATCATCACATATATCATCATAGCCGGAGTTCTTGAAAACACTTGCTGAAAAAGCCAAACAAATGACGAATGCAATTCCTTCTGTACTTTAGCTTTAATAATCTCTAGCTCTTCACGGCACGATGCTTCTCTCATCTGTAATGCATAGCTTTGAAGCTCGATGACAATGAATACCATTGAAGCAAAAGCCTTTTTCACCGAGCAACAGACTGAATCTTCAGAATGCGTAAAGGCCTTTTCCAATTGTAGTTTCTTTTTTACCATCCTTAGAGAAAGAGGAAGATCAAAGCTCCTAGCCTTTTGTTCAAGAGTCGCCCACATAACAGCCTTCCGTTCTGGCCAATCCGGGGCCTCGGGTCTAATCCTGAGCCTCTTCAGTTCCAGGAAATCAAATTCTGATTGCAAGAATAAATTTTTAGTCATTGCATATTTACTGGTAGAAGGACCACTTTCAGATATTTCACAATGCTTCTCTCCTTCATTCTCTTCCCCTTCCAATAGGTGAAATCTTTCTGTCAATCCTTCTACATGATTGGATGGCTCCTCATGAAAAATATAACCCAAGTTTGAACAACAGGATAGTTTAAGAGTACGCCCTCGGGAAAGAGTCTTGTTGAAAGTTTGAGACTGTCGCATGTTTTCAGATGAAAACGGATTAGAAATGACAACTAAACAGACTTTTTGGTCCCTTATGCGATTTCTTGTCGAAGAAGACGATGTATAAAGGGTCAATGATAGTGAAAAACCAGATGCTTGAGGGACAACATGGAGTGGACATTCTACAGTGGATGGAACCATATCAAACCTCATAGTTTCCTAATTGCAGAAATGGTGAAAGGAGGAAATAACAAAAAGGATTAGCAAAGGCTGAGAAAAAACAGTGGTTTAATTTCTACACATAGAAAAAAGGAGAAAGCAATTATCAAATGAAGTAACAGAATGCTCGTGTAGAAAGGATTAATCAAAGAAAATTTAGCCATTCTATGAATCTTGAAAGGGAAAGAGCAAACTCTAGATCTTTTTTTGGTGGCTTTAGATTCAATCAAACCTGTGATATACAGATGAAAAAAGCAAGATTTTAAACATCATTATAGTTGACTAACTTGGCACAGAAAATCTCCACAAATCTGTAAAGAAAGATCAAATAGTTGACTAACTTGGCAAAGAAAAACATGTATAATTAGCAAGCTAATTTAAGGTCAATTGTGTCGATGGCTATTGGCTTCAGTCACTCTCAGACACACCGATTTTCCAAGTTCCAACTCATGCAAAAAACTCCACGCAATTGTAGAGGACTTTCCAAACTGCAATACTTTAATTAGGCAATATTGATATATAAGAAATTTGCTTTGTCTATCCAATTAGGATCATAGTCCAGCCAATTGTCTTTAAGCTTGACTTACAACTTGATGATTATCCATTCCCAAGTCAAGCCACCGTTAGTGTGTCTACACACATATGCATATATATATATATATATATATATATATATATAGAGAGAGAGAGAGAGAGAGAGAGAGAGAGAGAGAGAGAGAGAGAGAGGCGGAGGTGGGGGAGGGATTTGGTAAAAGAGGGTTTTGACACTAACCAGAGTTTGTACAGCTCCCTAAAGTTGCCATGTAAATGTTGTAACATAAAATACAAAGTTTTAACATTTCAATAATAAAATCATTTGATTTTCTGTTTTGATTTAATTTTAATTTTTAACACAAATTGAAAACATCATATTTCATAGTGTAACTTATATTTTAATTGAAATAATTCTCATTATTGTGGAGGTTAAGCTTTACATACAGAAAGGGGGGAGATTTATAGTTTGTATATAACTAGAAGGAACAAGTTAAAGAATTATTCTCCCATATATACATTTTTGTGCTATATTCTAGTGTAACTTATATTTTAATTGAAATAATTCTCATTATTGTGGAGGTTAAGCTTTACATACGGAAAGGGGGGAGATTTATAGTTTGTATATAACTAGAAAACACAAGTTAAAGAATTATTCTCCCATATACATTTTTGTGCTATATTCCAATGTTATTAAAATTTGCCCGACCTGGCCAATTCAACTGGTAAAACTGGGAACAGGGCCCAAAGCCAAGCCAATTATATGTTATAAACTGGATATATCACAAACTGTTAAAAAATCACTAAATCGCCTGATTGAACTGCTAACCAGTGAACCCGTAACGATTATAACTGATTTTCGAGTTTGTTAATTTAAAAATTTCAAACTTACTTATTGGACCCTACAACAAAGTGAAAAGCCCCTAGGAGAATTGGGAATTTTTCTGATAGGAGATCAGAGTGTTTTTCCTTGGAGATGGAAAATTCGCCCACTGGTTTTATCAACTTGCAAATTCTCATTAAACAACAACTGTTGGCTGTTTTAATTTTTTATAAAAGCACCTTCCCTCAGTTTATATTCAAACTTCCGATGTGGGATATATGTTATGCCCCAAAAAAAAAAAAAAATAACAATAAGAAAAAAAAATTTCCAAATGCCTATTGGCTTTTGAATTTTGAATTTGATTTTGGGCCAAACAAATATAGAAATTTTCACTTCAATTTTTTTTTTTTACTTATCCAATTTTCGAATTCAACTTAAAATTAAAAGTTCGCTTCATTAAAAATTAGCACAATAATTTTAGATATTATTTTCTATAAGCTCAAACGATTTCAATTTTAACGAAGCAAATTATTTCAATATATTGAGTGTTAGTTCTTGAAGTGTTGATACTAATTGTATAGTAATAAATCTAATTAAAAAATTGATTTGTGTTTAATTTGAATTATAGTATGAAAATTAAAAAATATATTGTAGTTATAATATTTCTTTTTTTTGTGTATATTTATTTATTACATCCGATTCGACTCCCGATTGAATCTTTTGACCTTTGACCCATAACCTATTTCGGGTCAATGTATGGGTCGATTTTCAAAACATGACTATATTCTTATATTTTGGCAATTCAATAGAGGCTCGTTCTTTTTCTTGTGATTGTACCCATAGAACGAAAATAGATTATAAATTACGTGATTTTTATCTTGAAGTTGTATGGTGTTGAAAGTACCTGCATGAAAGGGGAGACAACAAGATTTTAGATCAACGTTTTTTGACGTGACTCCTTAAATCTTGTTTTCTAAATCTCTTTCTCATATTTATATTATTTTGAGTTATATGTTTACACCCATTTTTTCCAGCAGTAAGTACATAAAGCCCTATGAATGTTTTCTTTGACCAAAGAGTATCTTGGAGGGAGAGGGAGAACAAAGAATGGGGGAGAGATGATGATATCTTTGAGTAGCAGAAACACGTGCTACACTTATTTTGGACAACAAAATTATTTGTACGTTCATAAATAGACTCCTTTGGTCGGTTTAAAAATACAAGTCGTGTATTTACCAGTTGAGAATAGGTCTAAATAGATGGGACCATTTTTTTTCATTCAATTAAATTGTGATGTTCTTGTGAAAGAAAAGCGGTGAAATGTATTTAATGCATTTGAATTTCATCACTTATCTGCCGGTTTAGTATGTATAAAGTGTGTGTTTGGGTTTCATTATAATGCGAGAAGTAATGAGTCTCGTAAAATGTATGGATTATAAATAGTAGTTGTTTTCAACGTATAATAATTTACTAGAACAAGAGAGTTGCAATATATAATTACTTCACCGCAGAGAGTTGCAATATATAATTACTTCAACCAAGAGAGTTGCAATATATATATATATATATATATATATATATATGGGCTTTTGAGATGGTGAATGGTGGATTTGAAGGCATCGGATAAGTGCATTTTACACATTTATCTAGCCTCTTAAATATATATATACTTCGGATGCGCACTAGGTAAACTCTCGAGCTGATGTAATAATATGTAAACCACGCCAGTCAGATAAATTGTACTAGACAAATCATGTGTGACAGGCTCAACCAAGAAAGTGTTCGTAGGAGGAATCGAACTCGTAACCAAATGTCTCCACGCTCACCTACTCCACCAACTCGACCACCCCATGAGGGGCCTCTTAAATATATTATTATTTGATTACTTGGGTGAATTTCTACTTATAATTAGTGTGCACATTATTTTTGTAGGAAAAATCCTCAATTTGAAGATCATTGATGCGCGCGCAGAGAGAGAGAGAGAGAGAGAGAGAGAGGATGTTTTGAGTATAAATGACAAAAAGAGGCCAAACAAGGAATTTGCTTGAAGTTTGGTATGAAGATCTCCAAAAAAGAAAGATAATTAAACTTGCAAAAAAGTGATTTTAATTCGGAGTTGTAAATAAATTGGCCCTTGCACCTGGGTGCCACCCGTCGTGGCTTCTTAATTCGTCATGAAAACTTATTTTTTAGGTATTTCAACATTCCAAGTAAGTTTTTGTTGCTGGGATTACGATAAAATCTTGTCAGGTCTTTATTTAATTGATTGCTCATTTTTAGTTTAAATTCTGTTTTGATTCTTGATACCTATCAAAACGCATTTGTGATTGAGTTTAACACATGATTACAAACAATGGTAGGTATCCTATAGGAGAGAGTTACTTCTACGTTTAGTGAAATCTTAATCGATATTATATTATTATTAGATTTGTACTACATTTTTATCTATTTGCCTTCTTCAAAAAGATTAGTTGGATCATACATAAAATTGATTATTTAAATTAACATATAAGAAAATCTATAGTCAACAAATTAAGAATGAATTATAAACGAATAATTGATTATTATAATAGTTAACCATGTTGAATTTGAGATTCTAGAGACTTTCATGATATGATTAAATTTTAAATTTTTTATTTCCAATTTTTTGTTATAGTATAG